CCCTGAAGGCTGGACTGTTGTGAGCCTCGGCTACAGTTTACATTTTATTCACCTTCAGCATTTGTGTGTGTGTGTGTGTCAGGAGTGTTCATCTGCAGGGGAAAGGAGGATGCCCTGGTGACAAAAAACATGGTGGTAGGAGAGTCTGTGTACGGAGAGAAGAGGATCAATGTGGAGGTGAGTCCAGCTCAGCTGCTGTGCCAAATATAAAACCGTGCAGCTTCCTGTTGTTGTGACCACACTGAGTCGATGTTCGCTTCGGTCTCGGTAGGAAGGAGAGACGAAGATCGAATACAGAGCCTGGAATCCGTTCCGCTCCAAGCTGGCTGCGGCCATCTTGGGAGGAGTTGACCAGATCCACATCAAGCCCGGAGCCAAGGTCATGTACCTGGGAGCGGCCTCCGGCACCACGGTGTCCCACGTTTCTGACATCGTCGGACCCGTGAGTACCGCACGCTTTCTCTTTGTAGCTGTAGTGAGGAGACGTGCAGACCGCCGCTGCTCGTAGTGTTTGACCACACGGGACATGTGAGGAGGGGGCGAATGGGCTGCACCAGTGCAAGATTGCTAGGGTGGTGTAGTTGGGGTGTAGGGTCTGCTGTTAAAGTGTACGTGCAGCGTGGATGTAACACAGGAAACAAAGAAGCATTGACATGAGTGTGTTGTGTGACAGGAGGGGCTGGTCTATGCAGTGGAGTTCTCCCACCGGTCGGGTCGCGACCTTCTCAACGTGGCGAAAAAACGCACCAACATCATTCCAATCATCGAGGACGCTCGGCACCCGCACAAATACAGGATGCTTGTTGGTGAGTAGTCTGCAGATGAGGTGTGTTTGTAATCGTTGAAACGACGGTGAGGGTCGGCCGCCGCCCCGTCAGGAACACCTGCAGAGCATTCACGCCGTCTGTCCCTCTGCAGGCATGGTGGATGTGATCTTTGCTGATGTTGCCCAGCCCGACCAGACCAGGATCGTTGCTTTGAACGCGCACAACTTTTTGAAGAACGGCGGCCACTTTGTCATCTCAATCAAGGTACGCTGATAACCGCCGTAGCAGGTGACGGCTCCCTGAGCTCTGGTGTTTGAGGAACGCTGGAGGTGTTAACGTTGTCTGAAGTTCTCCAGGCTTTCTAAACGTCTTTCACGGTTCCTCTTCGGCCATCTTCACACAAATGTTTTAGCGTAGGCTTTGTTGAATCTCAAAATACTAATAAAGACATTTTCCGAGTCAGTTATCTCGAGTTACTGACCCACAAACACGAGTACGTGTCTCACCGTAGATGATTTCTAATAGCAAACGTTGCTAAAGAGAATGAAAGGACTCGTCTCCTGCTTTACTACAGAATGATGACTGTGGTGTTCACAGCAGCTGTGATAGAAACATGTAACTCTGTCATGTTGTCCCGTGTCAGGAGAGTTCACATCCTTATCAGAGCTCTTTGGCAATCTGCTAAATCAGGTTATCTGTGACTGAATCCTTGATTTGGACTCAAACTAGTTGTAGTCGTATGCTCGGATACTCGTGTGACGGTGAGGAATGTCTGGCTGTTGTTCGTGAGTCTGATTCCAGCTGTGTTCTTCTTCCTCAGGCTAACTGTATCGACTCGACAGCAGCTCCAGAGGCAGTGTTTGCCTCAGAAGTGAAGAAGATGAGTGCAGAGAACATGAAACCACAGGAGCAGCTCACGCTGGAGCCCTACGAGAGAGACCACGCGGTGGTGGTGGGCATCTACAGGTAAAGCCACCTCGTACCACCACCTGTACACAGTCACGTCCACTAACATTGGTGATCAGGAGAAACGGCCACAGGAAGCTGCTCAGCAACTCACTAAGTTGGAAACAGTGTTTCCTTTGCATGTTCACATGAAGGGTCAAGGGTCGTTCCTGCCTGTAGGGGTTATCAGACCTGACACGCTGCCCTGAGGGCAACAGGTAAAGTAGGTGAAGGCTACGTGACAGCAGGGAGGAGTGGCGAGACACCAGCAGCTGCGTCTCCTCAGGTCTCTCAGGAAGCGTAGGTGCTGTGACCTTTGTTCACGGCGGTGCTGTGGGCAGTCCAAATGTTCTCTGTGGGAAATCCTGGATCGTGTCCACAGTCTGCTCTGCACTTCCTAAAACCCACGATGACCTCTTGTTTTCTTGCTGGCACCAGGTGACCCTGAGATGAGTCCAGCTATGCCAACTGTAACACGGTTATTTCTATCAAAGAGTTAGACGAGTTTGTAGTGAGTGTAGAGCTGCGAGACGTTACAAAGTGAGCGTGGAGGAGAGATGTGGGCCCAGCTTCACTGTAAAGCTTGGCCCGATCGGTGAGGATGACTTTAATCCACATGCAGGTTAAGGAAGCCGAAGGTTGTCGCAGGATGTCTGGGGTCGCTGTTAAAGGCAGAGCTGATGTCGATGGGCAGCGTCGGCAGGTCGTTTCCTCACCCTGCCCAGATGTTGCAGGGCGGGGTGAGGAACCACTGTAGGTGAACTGGTGTGAATGAGGCTGACTGTGAATACCAGCCTCTTAAAGGAAGAACAAAAAACCACTTGATGACAGCGGGCGGGCGACCAGCCTGTCGTCGGGCAGCTATGGCTGCAGCTGCTGAACCTCCGGGTCAAAGGTTACATTTTCTGAAAGCTGGAACAGTTGCTGAGTAACCTGTAACTGTTTATCAGAGTAACCATGTGATGTTGCTTTAGTTTTTAAACAACACGCAGCCTAACATTACCATTGTTACCAGAAAGGCGGAGCTTATTCTGCTCAGTTGAAACTCAGTTAATCAGTTCAGTTTCCTGCTTCTGCATCAGGGCTCACACTGAAGATTTGCACATGAGGCTTTTTAGCTCCTCAGCCTCTGTGGTTCCTGAGGACAGCTCGCAGCTCCGGCGCTGCGTCAGCGCCATCTGGTGGCCTGCAACAGCACAGTGGCTTTGAAGAAACAGCCTGCTGTCAGCTCCAGTGTGTAGTTTTATTTAAGGTTCATTGGAGGAGATGGAAGGAAACCTTCTCACTGCTTCCATTAAGAACTTAATGAACATCCAGAGTTCAGGTAATGAGCCACATGATGCATACATGCATCTACAAACATGGATCTGTGTTTGGAACCAGAAGCTGCAGCTGAACTGCTCAAAGAATCGTTCCTGACCTGTTCTGGCTTTGACTGTCAGTGCAGAGGGAACCACATGATTCAGTCACCAGATCATCACTTAAACACCTCGCCATCTTACTAAGGACCCCATTGAATTGTCAGGCACAGACCTGCACCAAAAACACTGCATTTGTCTGTAAACTGTGTGTATCCGTGGTAACCATGTATTTTCTTTTGTTCTCAGACCTCCACCGAAACAGAAGAAGTGATGTGTGCATGTAAGCTGGGCCGGAGGAGGATTTCCAGCCTCCTCCTGGCACGTCTGCCGTCTGTCACCCTCGTCTTCAGTCACCGTCTGCAGCTTCCTCCAAGCACATTGAAGCTTCAGCTGGGTTCCTCATCCAGTCTTTACTCAACCATCTCCTCTGGTGCTTCCAGTTCTCACAGATAAGGTGGAGAACATTATGTGATACCTGGTCTATCAGTGCAGCACCTTGTTTGCGCTGTAGAAAGGTCCCGTTGTTTGTAATGTACATGTATACAGTAGATGAGGTTACAAAGTAACACACTGTGCTGTGAACCTGCCTTTTCCTGGGATTTTGGATCCAGCAGACGTCTGAGTGCCGAGGACCCTGATCAGTCTGACTGCAGCTTGTTTGCTCTGTGCTGTTTTGTTTGTTGGCTTCTGTGATGATTATTTTCTTAATGAATGATTCTTTTAGTCTGACTGGCTCCATATTCTGAACTTGCACCCACACTGCTGGTGTTTTTAAACAGTGGACCATTATACACACTTCCTGTTTTGTTTGAACCAGTTTAAGTATTTTTCTTTTCCACATAGCTGCCATGTTTGTTTTAATAAATGTTTTTGGTTGAATTGAACTCTTCAGCTAAATGCACCATCACACTGACCAACATTCATCTCACTGCTCTCCTGGTTTCTTTGGTCCAGATTCACAGCAGTGAGGTGGTTTTAAAAATGGCGTCACTCTATTAGGTACACATGGTCAACGCCTGTTTAGGCCACGTGGCAGTAGCCTGATGCATTTACACAACACAACTGGCTGAAGTTCAAGCTGAGAAGAAAGGTAACTTTGATGACTTTTAATGTGGAAGGTTTTTGGGCCCTGGACTGTCCTGCACAGCTGTCCCACAGGGCTGCAGAAACTGGTCCCCACTAAAGAACAATGCAGTGAGCAGCAGTTCTGTGATACCTGGTTAGTGGCAGAGGTAAGAGACTGCTCATACAAACAGTAACTCAGATCTACTTGTTACAACAAAGGCATGCAGAGCAGCAGCTCCACTCAACGTGTCAAAGCTGGAGCAGAAGTCCACCAAAAACTGATTGCTCGTATTTAAACTGCTATAAGTAACTTGTTGGGCTATAATATGTGAAACATGTTAAATGCATCCTTCATGGATGACATGAGTCATATTGAGCCACAAACAACATTCGTGTAACAAGGTAGAAGCCACAATCAGTTTTTGGCAGTGACTTTTATATAACCTTCATTTATGCAGTTTAAAAAAGTTTTAATTAACATTAAAAATGTCTTTTGTCAGAGTAAGTTGGCCAAGAGGACAGCAGAAATGGCTCAAATATTACAATAGTTCTGTAAAATATTTTAAGTGGGGACAAAGGACCGGATTGGTTATAATGTGAGTACAATAACACAGAGTTGTAAATATACTTGAAAAACGGATAAGTTTTTAATTCTCTATAGAACCTCTTTGTAAACCCTGTTCACCGAAGTCTATTTACGAACATGCGTAAAGATAATACACATAAAAAATACACAGAAACATTAGAAATCACTTTTTGGCACAACACCGGTCCTGCTGGCAAACATGGCTCCATACACGTGGTGTCAACAGTCCAGAGCCCCTGAGTACCAACGCAGCATCATTTACACGCCACAGCTTACCTGAGTATTGTTACCGTGTCATATCCACGCTGTAGCTGTGTGACGATGACTCGCCGTGTCAGCTGTGCAGCAGGTGTGTCATGCTGCCAGAAACTGAAACGCTTCCAGCGCCTTATTGAAGAATTCAGGCAGCTTTGAACCAACAAGTGTGTCCGTGGGGTGCAGCTCCACGCGGACGTCCCTGAGTGACCGTGGAGCGCACAGGTGCTGGGGTACAAAACTAACGACCACCGCTCAGGTTTCGCGCTGTAACCGCTCAGTCCTCCCCCGACGAACCGCCGTCAGGTTTAACGTTGTGATGAACGTGTCCACCTGTTCTCAGGTGTGACTCACAGCTCGCGTGTGGACAGGTAGCGCGACCCCTTCTCTGTGTGCGGCGGCTGTTTGGCCGTTTAGCCCGTACTGTCAGTGAAACCTGGATTTCAGCTCTCACGTTAACCGCTCTGTGCAGTTACAGGAGAAACTGCTCGTACCTGCAGAGGAAAGGAAGTGCTCTCTAAAGTGGTGACTCGCGCTAGTTTGATAACACTACCATCATCTTTTCGAAGCGTTACACGGTCTGCGTCGGGCGGACCTTTAAAATGATTGCTTTAGCACCGTTACAGACTTAACTTTGGGAAGTTTGTGCGATAGTATGCGGTACGGTTTGTTTTGGCAGCCATTTTGTGGGAAATTTCTCTGGAACGCGCTGGGCCGTACTTGCCTAGTGTCGGGAGTGCGCTCTCAATGCAGCCCCTCTCCTTTGACCGATATTAACATCACAGAGGGGCTGGCCAGCATAGAGTTAGCTTTAGCCGTGTCTGCTAAAATACGGTCTTTCTCATAGCGTCTGCAGGTTCGGTCCGTCGGCTGGCCGTTACTATCAAACAGCCTGCACTTTGCGGACTGTCTTCCTTCAAATTCCAATGGCAGTGTTTTAATCAAGACAGCTAGCATGCTAGCTACTAGCTAGCTAGCTAATGTTAGCATCTTGCCTTTAAATTAATTGAGAAGAGGACGAGATCGCCTATTCAGTTGCCCCACGCTGTGGTTGCAAGGGACTTTGTTGTGCACCCGAGAATAAATATCGATCCAGTACATTAAGCTTGCTTAACAGAAAGAAGACTGAGTTCGAGGTGTCCGTGTTTGAAGCGGCGGGCTGCCCACCACCCCTTAGGCACGGCTAGCTGTGCTGCGCCGGCAATCAGTCCCCATCGACAGCCCCGCTCCTCGAGCTCCGAAGAACATAGACTATCATATTGTACTGGAAACGGGAAACCAGTTCCTGGCAAACAAGTCTACTCGACATTATTTTGGATTTCTGCTTTGAACGAAGGACAACTGACCTGGGGGAGGGGGCTCGGTTCGTGTGGACGAAGGGAAATAGGGGTTCCGAACATGGCTGCTAGTCGGAACTTGGTTCGACACACCGCCTGAGGTAAGAACTAGCCGGCCGGCGTTGGTCTTATTTATGGAGGAGTTGCTGGTTATGGTGGAGGCTGACACTGGGTTAGTGGTAACAGTGCTTGGTAGAAGAACGTTACCCTCTTTTCGCCCCTGTTACCGGCCTCGTGTTACCGCTTCCCCGGCGCGGCGCCTCAGATAGCTGATGAGGCAAAGAGGCAGGCTTCGACTGAAACAGGTTGGTCACCATTGCTGATGCACAGTGGTTGATGTTGAACAGCTTAAGCTGGGATGATGCGTCTCGGTGGCTGAGACGTGCCTTACGATAACTAGTCGTTACTCTGGCTTTTAATAGTGTGCAGCGTTGCCAACCCCTGCTCCTCCACTTTAGCCTGTGACTGACAAGTAACCATCTGGAGTTGACATAGTTGTGCTGGTCATTAAGGGACTGCTGGTTAATTCGAACACAAGTGCCATACTGTGATATTGTGACCTGCCTCGCGTTAACGCGCGACATCCAGCAGACTGGGATGGGATGCCGGCGGAGCAAAACGGGAAAAGCGATGGGAGCTGAATGAGTGTGCTATTACACGATTGCATTAGAGACGTGTTGATTGTCCTCCTGCATATGTGCGGATATTCTGCTGTACCGCGAGGACTCGGATGAGTTTAGGTGACATAGCAGCCGATCAGCAACCCCGGGCTGTCCTCAGCGGACCTGCAGCATTTCATCTGCTGTGGCAGCTAACATAGCCGCTAGCTTAGCTACCGCATCAGCCCCAGCCCCTACCCTACCCTACCCTCAAATAGAGGCACACTGGCATCCAGTTGCCTGGAGATAGCTATTCGTAGCCAAGAACAGAGCGACAAATGGACGGTGCCGAAGCACATCTGGAACAGTCATAACTTGACACCTTTTTAATCTATTTCCGTGCTCCTTTCCTGTTCTTGGTTAACAGCAGGCTGATATTTATCACTGTTTAAATGTCACAGAATGCCCTCACTACATACACACCCAATTCAGCGCTCTGTAGGTTTTTTGGGTGCTGGTGGGTCGGTCATAAAATGGGTGAAAGACAATTTTCTTAATTGTTTTCATTCATTCTTTGTGACATCATGTTGATGCCTCAGTGAAGGTGTGCTTACTCAGTGTGTGAGCTTCCTGTGCAATTGAACCTGGCGTCTGGGCAGCTGCAGCCACAGTGCGCTGCATGGCTCCAAGAGAAAATGTGTTTGTCTCGTTTCTTTATTCTGTGTGATCAGGAATCAGGCTGAATGTTTGATGGTCTGTGCTTCACAGTTGCACGTCACAGAAGATGGATTCAGAACTGTTACAGTATCTTTCGACCTGTGATTTGCAAACTTCTCTGACGTGTTCTCATTCAAACGTCATGTCATTTTGCATTAACAATGAGATGGAAGGCGGCAAATAGAAGAAGAATCCAAGCTGACTTTTAGTGAGATAAAGGAAAGCATTCAGCTCAGTTTCACTGAATATCTTTTCTCTGGGTCATCAGCACTTACCGTGTAGTGGCTGTGTGTATGTGAAGCACTGTCCTACCCAGAGTAAAGTCCGTATGTTTAAAGATGCTGATATCTTTCAAACTATCATGAACCAATACTTTGTGATCACACAAATCCTAAGGTTAACTACAATACAATAAAAGTCTGGATTCCTGGCAGGGTGCTCTGACTCGGGAGTGCACGAGTCACTTTTATTAGCGTTCTGTCTTTCTCCTGAGATAACGCCTCATCTCACTGATAAAATGTCAAGTAAATGTTCTGGTTTACTTTGACCACTGAGTGGTGTGCAGCCTGTGTCTTTTGGCCAGAAATGGTCAATAGACTTGTTCCCAGCTGATAGCACAGCTGTGACAACAAGCTAAGTCTGTTTGTGTGACAGCTCTTGCAAACCAGTTTAAAATTAGTGTCGACTCTTCACAGGTTCATTCCAAAAATTGACGAGGTCTTTTTGAACACACCTCCACATTCAGCGATGACCGAGGCTCTTTACAGGCGGAGTGCTGGTACTGTTACTCAAGCTTTTTTCACACTTTTAGGAGTGGCTGTAGGTCAGGAGGTAGAGCAGGTCATCTGCTGATCGGACGGTTGGTGGTTTGATCCCTGGCTCCCCCTAATCTGCATGCCAAATATCCTTGGGCAAGATCGTAATCCCGCTGCATCCACTGGAGTATGAATGTGTGTGACTGGTCGTTAGAAAGCACTTAAATACATAGAAAGATGATGAATGTGGCATGTTGTGTAGAGCGCTTTGAGTGTGCTGGGAGAGCAGAAAAGCGCTGTACAAGAATCAGCATCAGTCCATGTTGTGCAGTTACTTTGTCTGTTGCTTCCTAGAAAGAACCTGTTTTCTTTTCTTTACACTGGTCATATATTTGGACCAGAGAAAGATGGATATGTATCCTCTGCAGCATTTCTTTTTGCCCTGTGTTAAGGGAGGAGGCGTGTTTTTGTAGGTATTAAGTGTATTTTCTTTTTTCTTTCTTCTTTTTTTTTAAATATCACCACAAATCGTAGTTAAAGAGTTTGAGTCTGCTCGTTAAAAGTTGATTTCCATTGGATGCGCTTCTTTTCAAAATAACTGAACATCACTGGCTCACAGGAACTTAAGGCTATTAACCTCTAAAACACATGTATAGCCGGCTGCCTTGCATTTAAAAGTCTTGTAGACTTTAAACCCCGTTCCAAAAGTAACCACGGTATCACTGTTATAGGTTTTTTATGATGGGTAAATTTAAATAAATGCCCATTAATTTTAAAGGTGACCTGAACTGCACATCAAGTCTTATGTGCTGCATCAAACTCCATCAGTTCAAATAATTGAATTATGCTGGTGAGTTAAAACCTTTATTTTTCCACTATAATATTGTGACCTGCTGTCTTGTAGAAATGCATCTTCTTGAGTCTTAAAATGTTAAACTTTTCAACTTGCTGTGAACATGCAAGTATCAGTGGAGCTGCTGAACACCACACTAGTATTGAGACATCGTGTTGTTCAACAGTTAGCTGACTTCAGTCGGAAAATGATCAGTTCAGGCCAGTCTGTGGTAAGTTCAGTTGATTTGACCTGATTTGTAAAGCCTGTCTATATAAAGTCCACAGCGTTCCCCATAGCTGAGGGTGTTTGTCAGCACAAACCAATCCATGAAGAATTTGAGATTGTAGATTGCTGAGCCAGGCACAGATCTGGGCAAAGGTATAGACGTCTGCAGCATTGTAGAGCCTGATAATCAGCACCCATGTTTTCTTATAGATTTCATCGTATGGTATCAGCACAATAGAGAACTTTGCTCTCAGACTAACGGTGTACTTGTGATCCCAAGGCTGTTTTAAAGTAGGCAGAGCCTTCAGATTCAGTCTCCTCTTCTGTGGAACCAGCTCCCAGTTTGGATCCAGGACATGGACACCCTCTATACTTTAAAGATTAGCCATGAAACTTAGGTAGGGCTGGATCAGGTGGTTAGTTACGCTGCTGTTGGCCAAGGCTGCTGGTGGCTCCCATGATGAGTGTTTCTCCTTCACTCTCTGTGTGTCTATACACCACTTTGAATTGAATTATCAGTTATTATTAATCCCCTGTGCTTCTCCAGTGTGTGAGCTCCTGTTGTTGACCCTGAGCCTGGTTCTGCTGGACTTTTCTTCCTCGTAAATGGGGGAGTTTTTCCTCCCCACTATCACCATGCACTTCCTCACAGGGCATCATCTCATTGTTTGTTTGGATTTTCTCTGTATTTTCTTTATCCTACTGCCTTAAGGTGATTGTTGTGATTTGATGCTGTACACATAACACTGAATTGAAAACGGAGAACAATGTTCTCCATCATCCACAAATATAAAAGTGTGGAATCACCAGGAGCTGGTCACTCGGCCAATCTAAGCATTCAGCTTGAAGATGCACGGTTCATCGTCTAAAAGGACAACAACAATGGGTGTGGCAAGGTTGTAGTATCGTACTCAACAAGACTTCAGACAAGACAAGATGGCCTTAATTTGTCCCAGATTTGGGAAATTCAGTGTTGCAGCAGAAGAGTGGAAAGAACCGATACAAACAGGAATAATGCAAAAAAAGAAAGAAGAGGAAACTGTGGACCCTGCAAGTCAGGAGAAATCTAACTTATTTTTAATGGATTTGCAAAAATTTGAAGCTGTTTTTTTCACTTTCTCACTCATTCTCATTGTTTATCAAATTCTGAGGTGAAAAGTGAATTGAATCCATTTTGCAATAAGGCTGTAACAGGAGAAAATGTAGAACAAGTGAAGCACTGAAAGGACCAGACTGATCAACCTTTG